GGGGGAGAGGAGGGGTGGGTGGGTGGAAGGGGGAGGCCTGAGGGACCTGGACCTGAAGCCTGGCTCTGCTGTTACCAGCTGGGTGACCACAGGGCAGTCACCGCACCTCTCTGTGCCTCAGTGTCCTTATCTGTAAAGTGGGAACTGCAAGTGTGACAGGCATCCTCCAAAGAGCCCTCAGCGGCCCCTGCCTCTTTGTGTTCACACTTGAGGCCCCCCCTTGCTCTGGGAGCAAGTCTGTGGCCCACGAGGCAGGACGCTGGGTCCACAGCGTCAGCCCCTGACGCCTTAGCTGGAGGAGGCCAGGGCCGCGCCGGGGGTCACTCAGGCAGCTCTGTGGTGAGCTGCCTCAGCAGAGCAGCCACACAGGGCCCAGTATGTCTGGGGGAATGGCAGCCCCAGCTGGCACCCTGATGGCCGCCTCGGGGAGCCCCTGAGCCAGAGGACCCCACACAGTGGTACCCAGATTCCGGCCTTCCAGACACCCTGCGGTAAGCCTGCTACAGCACGGTACTGGCCGCAGACAGAGAACAGTGGGGATTCGGGACCATGTGTGGGGCTCAGCACAGCCCCTCAGAGGAAAGCTGGTCAGCGCCAGCCGTCTGGTGAACCTGGGGTCCTTCCCAAACTGTAGCATGTCCCAGGAAACCACGGGGTACCCAGGGCACCTTCGAGCCCACACTCGAGACCCACAGACCTTGCTGCGAGGACGGGTCCCCCAGGTGAGCGCTATGGTCGCCCGCTTTGCTCAGCGAGCCCGGCTGGCTGGACCCCTGCCCTGCGTGCCCCTGGGAGCTGCCCCCGGCCTTTAACCCGAGGCTCCGCCCTCATGGCGGTGCATGCCCGGCCCGGCCCTCCGCCCTCGTGTCCGGCTGGGGCTCTGTCTGCGGGACGCTGGAGCTTACATGTGCTGCGACGCGTTGGGGAAGAGGCTTGAGTACTGGGGGGCCGAGTCCTCGGGGCCGTGGGGGGCGGCGTGGCTGATGACCATCAGGACGGGCCTGTGCGGATACATCTTCTTGGACGTGCGGAAGAAGCTCACGCTGTCGTTGGTGATGAGGTCGGTCAGGTAGTCCTGGGGACAGGGAGGGGCAGGAGGCGCTGTGAGGAGCCGTGGGCCATGCCCGGTGGGGCCGCGGACGTGGCTGTGACGGGGAGCTGATGGCCTGGGGGCCAGCTTGCCACACCCCAGCGGGTGAGCCACGAAGGGGTGGGAGTGGGCAGGGGCTGCGGTTCACCGTTTTGGTCCTGACAGACTCCAGTCACCAGCCACTTTCAGGGCTTAGGGGTGCCCGGGGCCGAGCCCAGTGTTTCCTTGCGTGGGCTTGTTTCATGCTTGTAAAACCACGGGAGGCAGGGATGTTGAGAGCCCCTGTTTTCCAGAACAGAATTCGAAGCAGAGACGTTCAGGGCCCTGCCCGATGTCACACAGCACGCCAGTATTGCAGCCAGGCAGGCCTCCGCCGTCTGGGCTCCTAAGCCTGAGTGAGGTCTTTTCAAGGGGGTGGGGAAACTCCAGAGCCCTGCCAGGGGGCAGGGGCAGACCCCGTGCAAACAAAGACCCAAGATAGTGACAAAGTAAAACGTGGTGGCACAAGAGGAGCTGGCAGTCAGGGAGGGCCTCCCTGAGGAGGTGACACTGGGCAGAGACCAAGGTGGTGGTGAGCGGGAGCTGGGCCTGGGAAGGCCTCTGTCACCTGCTGGAACGCTCGGGGAGCTTTACTTACTTGCCCAAGCAAGGGCCCACCCCAGGGAAGTTTTGGCTTGCTCGGTGTGGGGCCTAGTTCTGGCATCGGCCCTTTTCAAAGCTCCCCAGGGGAGTCTCAATGTGCAAGTTTGAGGATCACTGAGGCACAGGGCGAGTTCCAGGAGGAGGGAAGAGCCATGCAGGGCTTCGAGAAGGGAGGGTCAGAGACTGGGGCCGGAGGAGGGAAAGCGACGGGCAGAAATGCGCCTTGAGGCTTAGCGAGGAGGCTGCGGTTCGCCTGCCTGTCCTCGAACTTGGTAGGGTTTTGGCTGCTGGTTGCTCTTGAAGGTGACAAGTTCGTGACATGTACCCATTGCTTCTGAGGAAGCAGCTCTGTCCAAAACGACCACTTTCCAGAAGATGTCACTTTAAGGGGAAAACGTGCGGCAGACGCTTAGAGCGGACACTTAGAGCTGCCGTCCGCCACAGACCTGAGGCCATGGGCATGTCTGGAACCACCCAGGCTCCCGGAGACCCACGGACGGGGCCGGCCCCCCGCCGCAGTGTCCATAAAGCCAAAGCGCCTTGTGGCCACCGGCAGCGGGAAGATGGAGGAGCTGAGCACCCCGGGGCAGCAGGCGTGCGGTCACCGGGTGGACAGTGTCCAGGACAGGAGGAAAGAAGCTGCCGAGTCGGACCCAGGGCGAGTCTGTCTTGTGGGCATGAGGCGGGCGGGGGGCGGAGAGCAGCCACGCCCCTGATTCATTAGCTTTTGTGCACGGAGGAAAAATCTGGAAGGACAGACACCTCAGTGCTGACTGGGACTGGGACAAGGAGCGGAGAAGGTCGCTTGCCACTTTTTATACCTCTCCGGAGTGAGGTTATCTTGGGGGTGGTGACGGGCTCCCTAGAGGGCCCCGTGGGGCCCGGCCACGCGCTGTGAGTCGATGCTCTGTGTACGTACTGGGCTCGAGGGGCCAGAGAGGCTGCTAAAATGGCAGTGGGTCTTCAAAGGGACAAGGCTCTCTTGGCAGAGAGGGGTCGGAGCCTCGAAGACAGGGCAGTTAGAGCTGTGGATGGCGGGGCCCTGGCTCAGGACGGCGCTTCACTCAGGCACCTGTGCCCTGCCCCTTGGGGGCCCGCGGGCAGCCGCCAAATGGTGCAGCACAACAGGAGCCCGTGGGGTGGGGTGGCTGCTGCTTCTCTGCTGACCTGGGTGGGGGTCGCAGCTGCCTGTCCAGCATGTGGGGACCCCCCGCCACAGGCACGCTTACTTCTGAAAGGACATTCCGCTTCCCCACGATGGCACAAAGGTTAGACCCTCGGGATTGGAGGGCACCTGAGTGCCACCGTCGATCCCAGGAAGTCTGCTCGGGCCTCTGACGCTGCGGCCCCCCTCCCACCCCAGCAAACGGGGGGGAGACTCACCTTGGAGTAGTCGAAGCCGTGCTTCTCCTTCACCCCGTTCCGACACAGCGTGTAGTTGTAAAAGCGGGAGTTCTTGAGGAGGCCGACCCACTCCTTCCAGCCCGGCGGGACGTAGGATCCGTTGTATTCGTTGAGGTACTTGCCGAAGAAAGCTGGGGGGGGGGCATCAGGGGGCTGTCAGGAAGGAGAGGGCAAGGCCTGGCCCTCGCCCCCAGGCGTGTATAGACCACCCACTGTGTCCTCCACACTCTCCCCCCCACCCCCGCTGGTCCCTGGCCAGCGAGTGGGCCGATGGTTCCCGTGTTGTCCCAGACACAAGATACACGGCACAGGTCGACAGAGGAAATCAGTCACTGTGAAACAGGATCAAAGGAAGGGGAGACTCTGCCACCTCGTGGCACGCGTCATTTTTTGCCATTTAAGATCTTATACAGCAAGACCTGGGAGCAGGGAGGAGTGAGGACGGCTTACAGTCCAGGCTGTGTGGGGTTGTGCTGTGGGTGAAGGCCACCCCCAGGTGCTGGGCCCACATTCCCCTGGGTTCACGGGACCCTGAGCCATCTGGGTCTGTGTTCTTGTAGGCTTTGAGGGTCACCCCACAACGAAACCCCCCAACCGGGCATTTCTCAGGTGGTGTCCTGAGGCTCAGTGGGACATATTAAAATCTGTCTGATTCCTACAGGCAAGGCTGCAGATTCTCCTGACACTCACTGTAGTCAAGGCTGGAAGTGTCCTTTTTTTCCCATTCAAGTTTACGGGGACTCCTTCCTACTCCACAGAGCCAGAGTGGCTAATGTTACAAACGGATAATGCCAAGTGTTGGCAGGGAGGCAGAGTGAT